CTGATTATTCCACCTACAGCTTCCTGCACCAGCAGCCCAATCAGGGCTCACCTGGAGTCTTCCCTTTCCTCCATCTCGTGCTCTGCCACTCTGCTGCCTTGGAATCTCCGCCAAATGCAGGCACTGCTGGCTGACTTCCCTGCCACAGCAAGCTTTCAGTGAATGGCTTTTGCTACTCCCCTTTGGTTGGCCTGTTTCCAAAGTGGGCTGGAAGGACAAAGGACAGCCACAGCCCACTGAACCTCAGAAAGCATCTCTAAGCATTTCATAAGAGAGTAATATGAACAAGACCCACCAGGATGTTCAGTCAGTCTCTAGACAGAAAGTAATAGGAAAATATGGTAAATGTTTAGTTGTGGGGTTTTAAAAAACAATTTATTATAGTAAAAGACACATTTCCATTAACCCCCTTTAAAATCCTGCTCCTCACTTCGAACACACGCATCCCATCATGCTTGCCACTTTCTGAAGCAGCTCTGGAAGTCCTCTTTTGTGAGTGTTCCACTGTCATGGCTGCCTCCATGTCCTGAATTGAGTCCAAATGTTGACCTTTCATGGTCATTTTGACTTTGGGGATGAACTGGAAATCACACAGTGCCAGATTCGGTCAACAATGTAAATGAGGACACACCTCATGTTTTGGGGAGCCTGTCTTTCCACTGAATGGTGCTCAGTGGCAGCATTCACTGTATTTTTATCACACTGCATGAAGTCACTCGTAGAAGACGACTTTCCGAAAATGGCAAGAATGATGGGATAAGTGTGTTTGAGGCAGCCAGGAATATTTGAGGGAAATTAATGGCAATGTGTCCTTAACCGTAATGAATTTTTTTTTAATTGAAGAACTCATCATATGTTTCGATCACACCACAACAGTAATGATTGCTGCACACGGTGTTTTCAGGCTTCTTTCAGGGATTCTGTTGAAAGATCATGTGGCCTCGGTGTCACCTGGTGCCAGAGGCAGGGGATAGCTCTGTCGAGAAGTGAACATGTGAGCTGAGCTGGGCCATGACCTGGGCATGAAGACATCACCAGGGGGCTGTGTGGAGGAGGAGGAGTCAGGAAGGGTCGATCCCTGATCCCAGGGCTCTGTAAAGGGGTGACACTGAGAGGGGGTGACACTGCACTCCACGGGGGCCTTTCTTGTCCAGCAGTATTTCCCATCACCCCTGCACAGCCTGAATTTCCATCCTGAGCACAGAGGGAGGTGATGCTGTCTTTCCAAGCATGCAGCATCCTTCCATAGCCTCAACGTGAAGTCACAGTGTAGCAGCAGCCCACAATCACAGTTATTTAATTAGCGTGATGGACTCGCATCCAGAAGCCAAAGGGCACATTCACAGCTGAGGACCCACTCTTAATTGCTGGGCTAGGGAGGCCCTTCATGCCTGTGATGGGCCTGTGGATTGCTTGCTCTTTCCACCACCAACATCTGGATTTACTGGGGTTGTGGAAATGATTCCCAGTCTGGGTGGTAGCAATCCCAGGAACAAGGTTCTGGCCACAACATTCAGCCAGACTCCATTAATTTCATGAGGAAGGGGAAATGCACACTGCATTCTCCCTGTGCTGCTACAAGCAAGACACCCACTGCCTGATCTGCAGAGAAGTGTGTCAGATGCCCTGAATCCAAATCCAAGGCCCAGTGCTCAGTAATAGGCCCTGATGGAGGAAGTGACTCACCCTCCTCTCTCAGGCACAGGTATGTGCATTTGTGAAAAGGGTGCAACACCAGCACTGCTTCTCTGGGTTTGAAAACAGTGCATTTAAAGGGCTTGATAGCATGCTGAACCCACAACAAACTCTGACGATAATAACACAGGTGCCTTGAGTGGCAGGTGGTTCTTCTGTGATTCCTAAGTCAAGGCTGGAGATTCCCAGATCCTAGCCACACAGGCCCAGGTGGATCTATGACCTCTTATTCTTATCACCTCCCTAAAGAGTCTTTTAAACATTTTTTCCTAACCACCACTGCCCACCCACAAAATTTTAATAGCATAGATACACTGTGCATTTATTATGACCCTTTATTTTATTGTGACCCTTTAGGGGGCCATCAACATTCTAATATCCAAGATCTTTTTCACCTTTCAAGTACCAGTTCTCTGAGCAAAAATAAAATCTTAAATGCATCTGTTTTTCCTGCCCATAAAGAAATGCACTTAAACTTCATTGTGCACATGTGTCTGTGTGTGTATGAAATATATATAACATTAATGGACTATGGTTAGTTTTACTTTAATTGGTGAGTAGGATGATGTAAAATATTTAAATTTACATAATGGAGGAACTAGTGTTAAAGGAAATAGAGTGTATTAGTCAGCTTCCATGTTGCTGGAACACAATACCTGATACCCACAACTTAAAAGAGTAGAGATTTAATTTGGCTCATGTTTTAAGAGATTCAGTCCACGATATTTTGGGTTTACATCATGACAGAAGGGTGCAAAGCTGCTTAGTTCATAGCAACCAAGAAGCAAAGCTGGGGAACAGTGACAGAGAAGAAAGAGCCAGGGACCAGATAGAGTCCCCAAGGCCACACTTCCATGGTACACACACACACACACACAGAAGTGTGCTCCACCAATCCCCTAGGCAGCTCTCAAGCCAATTAAGTTGACACCATCAAGCTTAACCATCACATCAATCATCTCCTAACTTAAAAAAAAAAAAAAAGGAGCCAATGATATCCTGCATTAAGAACACAAAATCTCAAGATGAATTTGGAGTGAAGGGATGAAAATAAGACAGTCCATGTATTCAATTTAAAGTTCAGTCTTTAATCCAAAATATTATATTTCTAGATTTAATAACCAAATTCAGTTGTGAACCTGGATACAAAGTCAATTCTCAAAAATCAATAGCATTCTTTACGCAAACAACAAACTCATTGAGAGAGAAATTAGAGAAACCACACATTTCATAATAGTATCCAAAAAATGAAATATTTAGGAATCAATCTAACAAAGGAAGTAAAAGATCTTTACACTGAAAACTACAGTACTCGGAAAAGGGAGATCAAAGAGAATATCAGAAAATGGAAAGATATCCTTTGCTCTTGGGTAGAAAGAACCAACATAGTGAAAATGGCCATACACCCAAAATTGTTATAGAGATTTAACGCAATCCCAATGAAAATACCAATCTCATACCTCACAGATATAGAGAAAACAATTCTAAAATTTATTTGGAACCAGAAGAGAGCCAGAATAACAAAAACAATTCTGGGCAATAAAGGCAAGGCAGGAGGCCTCACAATTCCTGATTTGAAATTATACCACAAAGCTACTGTGATAAAAACAGCATGGCACTGGCAAAAAACAACAACAACACCACCAATGGACCTGAGGATCGATGGAACAAGTTAGAAGATACAGAAACAACTCAAACACAAAGGAGCCAAATAGTTTTACTGGAAGAAAGATACCCTCTTTAATAAATGGTGCTGGAAAAACTAACCATGTGCCAAAGACTAAAACTAGACCCATGTCTCTCACCATGCACTAAAATAAAATCAAAATGAATCAAAGATCTAAATATTAAAACAGAAACACTAAATCTGATGGAAGAAAAAATAGGTAGAACTCTTGAAGACACAGGTATAGGTGATGACTTTATGAACAAAACCCCAATCCCACAGGGAGTATTATAAAGAATCAACAACTGGGATCTCATATTATTAAAAAGCTTTTGCACAGCAAAAGAAATCATCAGTAGAGTGAAGAGACAACCCACAGAATGGGAAAAAATATTTTGCCAGCTATTCCTCAGACAAAGGACTAATATCTAGAATACATAAGGAACTCAAAATAATCAGACCCCCCCAAATTTAAAGAACCAATCCAAAAATGGAAATCTAAAATGAATAGACACTTCTCAGATGAATAAGTAGAAATGGCAAATAAACATATGAAAAATAGTTCAACGTCACTGGTCATTCGAGAGATGCAAATTAAAACAACACTGAGATTCCACCTCACCCCAGAAAGAATGACTGCTATCAAGAAATCAACCAAGAACAAATGGAACCCTACTCCACTGCTGGTAGGAGTGTAGACTGGTGCAACCACTGTGGAAGTCAGTGTGGAGATTTCTCAAAAATCTAGGATTAGAGGTTCCATTTTACCCTTCTTGGTATCTTCCCAAAAGAATTAAAAACATCATAAACAGTGATATATGCACACCCGTGTTTATAGAAGCACAGTTTGTAATAGCTGAACCTTGGAAACAGCCCAAATGCCTATCAACCAATGAATGGATAAAGAAGATGTGGTTTTTTATAGAATGGAGTACTAGTCACCCATAAAGAAGGGTGAGCTTGAGACATTTCTAAGTAAATGGATGCACCTTGAGACCATACTCGTAAGTGAAATAAATTGGACACACACATGTAAATATCTGTTTCTCTGGTGTGAGAAACTGAAAGTGTAAATAAGGACCAAAATGTATACTAGGTACTATGACATAGGAAGAAAATGCTCAAATACGAAGGGGAACTAGGGAGGGAGGAGGAGAAAGGAAGAAAAGGAAAATAAAAATAAAGGAAAAAAGAAAGAAAATTGGAAGCAAAGCTTTCATAAATAAGGAGAGGAAGAGGGGTTGAAGGGAGGGTAGGGGAATGGGAAAAAGAGGAATTAAGATATATCATGTACAGGTACCAGTTCCCTATGAGGAATGTGATCACTGTGCATATCTAAAATGTACCAATAAATTTAATTAATAAAAAAGTAAAGAACAAGAAAAACCAGTCTGTAAAGATTACATTCTGTCGGGTTCATTGATCTCACATTCTCAAAAAGACAAACACGGGGAGACAGAAAACAGACAGGCAGCTCCAGTGTCAAGTAAGACTGTAAACCACTCCTTGGAGGAGGAAAAAAGGTTCTGTAGCTTGATTGTGGTGCTTACATCATAACCGTACACATGGCAGGACTACACAACACACACACTCACACACACACACACACACACACACAATTGGACGAGACCTAACAGTGTTGTGGAGCCCAGTTCTTTGCTTTAATGAAAGACTGCCTTGTACAGGATGTCACCACTGGAGAAAGACAGGTGAGGACTCTGCAGGACTTCATGGGCTATTTGTGGCCACATCCTGTGGACCTGTAATTATTTCAAAATGAAGACGAAAAACAAAAGCAGGGGGTGTGAGCTGGGGTCCCTCCTGCTCCTGAGGACTCGCCTCCTCTGAAGGCAAAGCCCTTGTCCCTTCCCACAGCTCCGGTTCCCCGTGCCAGCTGCTCCCTGGGCCTCTGAGCTGTGACTCTGAGGTCATCTTTCATCGCTCAATCTAGCTCTCTGTGGCCACTTAAGCTGCCTGTATTTAAACTCCCCCCCGAGTGATCTCCTCCCTTTTATCCAGGTCCTTTGATGTCTTGGTTCTGGTCACTTGCTAATCTGGTAAGGTTCTTGTTTCCTGCCAGGTTTTTCTTCAGCTTCCCACCGCTGCCTTTGTGGCTCACCCTCTGCCTGTCTGAGAGATCAGGATGGAAATGCCAGTTAGAGCCCGGAGTGCTGACCACCGCCCTCCCCTTCCTCCCATCTCAGAAGCACCCAGCTGGCCCTGGGGCATCAACTCAGCCACCCTGCTTTTCAAGCCAAGTATGAGGGCCTGCAGTTTAATTGGCATCATTTCATGATACTTTGCAGCTCGACTTCTGCAGAATCTGACAGCAGACAGTACCTGTGGGCGTCAATGGCCAGGGAACATGTACAGGAGAAGGGAGATGTCTACGGAGCTCCAAGGAGCAGGAGATAGATGCTCGAGGACTTGCATCACCCTGTAACCAGCAAGACTTTTTCTCTACTTCAGATAAAAATGACTTTCTCCTTGACCTCACAGATGTGCAGCATGTCTGATAAGACACCAGCCCAGAGGACGAGCAAATACAACAGTGCTCTGCATATAAAGCTTAATAAAGAGCTATGCTTCCCCTATTTTCTTCTTTTTCCTCCTCCAAGAACCCTTCTAGTACCTCAGGTGCCGTTCTACCCACACGTCCGGTCCCCAGGCCAGCCAAGTCCTTGGTGCATTTTGTCCCCATTGCCCTTTATACTAGGTGCGTCATTTGGGTGTGCCCCAGTGGCTGTGGGAAACTGAGTCAATTTCTGGATGCCAGCCTGGAGACCATAGAGGACACCCAAGGAAGCTACATCCACTCCAGAGAGGCCTGGGGTTCTGAGGTCACTAGGTGAAGCTCCTTGAGCCCTGCTCTGGGTTGAGCGGGTGTCTGGGGTGTGGTCTGGGAAGCTCCAGATTTCGGGAGCACAGAAGTGGGAGCACAGGGCACTGGAGCGGGAAATTGAGGCCCAGCTCCATGAGGGAGTCTTTGGAAACCACATAGGGTTTCTCCTCAGGGTTGGCCCTCTGAAGACAAGAGGGCTGGGCACTGTGACTGCACCAGGGTTAGCACTGACTGCACACGTCACACGTGCTCCAGTGTCAGCCATGCAGGCTCCCACAGCCAGAGAAGGCCGTCGGGTGGGCAATCCTGGGCACCTGCTGAGCAGTGGTGAAAGCCAAAAGAAGAGGGGCGCCTGCTGCAAACATCCTACTCCACAGCCTAACTGTGCCTTTTATCAGGTGCTGCCTAACAAACCACCCGAAGCTGAGTGTCTTATCCAACGATAGCATTTCTTTTGCTCGAAGACCCACAGGCAGGCAGTGCTCGGCCAGAGCCTCTGCTGGTGCAGCTAGGAGGTGGAGGCCTGGAAGCACCATCTTAATGCTCTGTCATCACACACCTGCAGAGACCCATTTGCTGAGTAAAATCACAGTCATGGGTACCAGAGTTACAATTTCAGTGTATCTTTTGGGAGAGGGGCTTGAACCCACAAGGGATCCTTATTCATGTGGGCCACTAAACCACGGTTCCTGAGCAGGCCACCCATCTGCAGGGCCCGGGGGCAAAAGGTAGCAGGTCAGATGTGCTTGTCCTCCCTCCCAGCTCCGATACCTCTCTTGCAGGATGCAGAATCAGGAGCAAAGCCCCGGGAGTGCAGGAAAAGCCAGGAGCTGCTCCAAGAATTCCAGGTGAGTGGTCGGCTCATCACTGGAGCTCCATAAAGCTGCTACTTCCAAGCAAGGACCCAGCAGCCCCCAGATGCAGGAGGGCATGAACCCCACCAAGAAAGGGGGCTCTTGGAGGGGAGTGGGGAAGCTGCTCTCTGACTGTGGATTTGTTCCTCTTCTGGGGCTTTGAGCATTCTGTTAATTAAGCATTTCTAATTGAGGAAATAGAAATGACTGTGGAACGAATGTCAGTATGGTAACAGAGCCCATGCCGTGCTCAAGAGGATGCCCTGAATGAGACCAGGCAGCCCACACAGGGTAGCCAAGGGCCACACCAGTCTCCAGAGACCCTTCGGGTGTCAAGTGGGCACCGAGAGGCTGTCAGTGGGGAGACGGGAGTGGGTGGCTCAACCCTGCAGTCAGAAGACCAGGTTGAAGTCTCAGCTGTGCCTCTTGTAGCCTGGGAGCTCAGGGCTACCTGGTCCTCACTGAGCCCCCAGGGGATGGGGATGGGACTACAGGAAGACTGAGAGAGGGCACAGGGCATGCTCTGGAAATACTAAGGTGTTCTGCATAGGAAAGGCACATGGGCTAGGTGGCCCAGCCCAGCCCAGAGGGCACAGCAAGCACCCCCTGGAGGTGGCAGCAGGCAGGTGATAGCAACCACCCAGAGGTCGCCGTAGGGCACAGTCCTGTCACTCCCAGGCACCAGACCCGCCCTCCTGTGACATGTGCATGTGTTGTCGGATAGGTGAGAAACTGAGGCCAGATGGGAAGGAGCTTTCCTGGTGGGTCTGGAGGGAAGCAGAAGAGTTATCAAGTGCTCGCTGCCCGACCCCTAGCCAGCACCCTCCCTCCTTCCATGGAGCACATATCCTCTATTGCCAGCCCCAGCAAGCGCCTCGTACCAAAACTCTCCTTTCATTTTTGCCTCCCAGCCAGGGCCCCAGCACATGAGGAGAATCTGCAATGGGAGAACCCTGACTGCCAGAGTACAGCATGGCAAGGTGATGCCTTCCCCCAGGAGCACTTCCTAGACCCAACAGCATACCCACAACGGCTTCTCTGCTGGGACCTGTGATGCCCTGCTGGCTTGTCACCATTGCATCCCTGGCAGCTAGCTGAGGACTTGGTTCAGGAAGAGCTCTCAGGAGACACTCGTGCTGTTGAATGTGACAGAAGAGCTTGGGGAGGTGGACGGGGCAGAGAACAACGGGCCAGTTGTACAGAAAAGAAGACTGAGGCCCAAGGGAGACAAAGACTGCCCCAAAGCCACCCCATCCAGCTGGAGTCCAGAAACTGGAAACCTCCTGCCCTGGTTGCTCATGGAGACTCAATGAGGCTGGGGCAGTGGTGACCAGCAGACAGATGGACAAGCACCTTCCCCTTCGTTCCACCCACCCGGACCTGCTTGGCCGTCTCCATGGTGGCCCCTGGGCTACTTCTCCAGGTCTCAGACGGGTGGGGTGCCAAGCTGGCGCTGGGCACGGGCTGGGCCTGGCCCTAGGTGTGCAGTGGTGTGGACCCCCCTGCTGTTCCCCCAACGCGGTTGCCTCCCGGGCCCCGGGGGAGCTGAGCTGTTCAGATAGACTTTTTCTCAATGTTTTATTTAGAGGGCGCTCCTTGTCCTTATCAGGAAAAAGTGTTCTATGAACCGGATGCTGGGTCACGCCAGCCACAGCCCGGTACAGTTCGTGTTGCCTTCATCTTCTGACTGCATCCTTTTCTCTTGGGCTCAATTTACTCTCTGATGGCCCCAGGGGCAGCAGGCTCTGCCAAGGGGGTGAACCCCAAGTGTGTGGCCGGCTGCCCCCTCCGATGCTGGGTGCATGCGCTCTGTGACATCCCCACAAAGGCGTTTCTCAGAATGTGTTCCTGGCGTCAGGCGGCGCCGACTGTCCTTCTGGGATCCCTGTGTCTCCTGCCCCATGCGTGTCCCATCTCTCCTCTCTCCCCGCCAGCCTACCCCTTCCTCCATCTGCTCCGGAGGGAACCTCACTGGTAAATATTTGAAAAGGTGCAGGCTGTTGTGGGAGGAAGGCAGGGATTAGGAGTCTGCTCCAGTGCTCGCTGAGGCCTGACACCAGAGTCCAGCTGTTGGGTGTCCTGGCTGCAAAGATGCCAAGTGGAAATTCACTGAGAGGAGAAGCCAAGGCCGCAGAGCACTCCCCGTCCCGCTGTAAATTAAACCCAGTCTGTTTGCTCTCAGGAGGGGGCTGGGGAGGGGCGCTGGGGCCCGGGACTGGGTCCCAGCCCACGTCTCTGGCCTGCAGCATGTCAAGGCCAGCCCTTTGTGCCCCTCGAGCTCCTGGCCAGCCAGGCAGGCAGCGGGCCAGCTCTGCAGGCTTCAGGGCACCCTGGGCTGTGCCAGGATCCTGTGTCTGCCCCGGCTTCCCCTCCAGGACAGGCACCAGAGTCAGCATCCGGACAAGGCCAGGTCCTCCCTCTGCCCCTGCCCATTGGCCCCAGGGAGACCCCTCCCCTGGCCTCCCTCAGAGGCCTGGTGAACACTGAGTGAGCAAGTCGGAGTGAAATCAGGAGCTCGAGTCACTGGTCTCTTCGGATCTGCTCAGCAGAGGACTGGACAGGATGCCACATCCATTGCATTGTTCACCCCAGTCCCCCGCCCCTGCATGTCTGCGTCACAGAACTTCTAACCAAGACACAGTGGCGATGTTCATTGTCTGTGTGTCACACACATACACACACACACACACACACACACCAGGGTGTTGGCTTCTCAGGGCAGGTTCTCTGTCATTTTTGTTCACTGCTAAATCCCTCAGTGCTTCAAACAGTGTCTGCCACATCAGACCCAAATAACCTTCTGTTGATGCATGTGAATGAGTGAGTCAATGAATGAGTGAATGAATGAACAAATACATGAATGAAAGAACCCAGAGTGAGAAAGTGAATGAGCACGAGTGAGTGGATGAGTGGACTGATGAATTATGAATGAGTGAGTGAACAGATGATGGCAGGAACCATCGAATGAGTAAGAGTATGAAGAATGGATGGATATATAAGTGAGTGGATGGACAAAAAAACAAATGAATGGATGCACACGTCAGTATAAAAATAAGTGAGGAACCAAGTGAGAGGATAGGTGGATAGATGAAAGTATGGGTGGTCGGGTGGGTGAGTGGGTGGGCGAGTGGGTGGGTAGGTGGAGAGGTAGGTGAGTGGATGGATGGGTGCACGGATGAGCGGCTGGACAGGTGGATGGGTGAGTGGGTGGACAGGTGGGTGGATAAGAAGACGGGTGGATGTGGGTGTGGGTGTGCCTCCATGGGTGAGTGCACCGCAGACCCAGCTGCCGGCAACCTCTGCAGGCCCCTCTGGCTCTCAGCGTGAATCTCCCCGAAATGGAGCCGCAGAAAGGGACCTCGCACTTCCGCCCTTGGGTCTTGGCACAACCCTCCCGCCCCTCCCTCCTCCTGCTCTCCCTCAACTCCCCTGTCTCCTTCAATCACACCCCAGGGCCTCCGGTCTCGTCCTCCCCTGCAGCGTCCCTCCCAACCGCTCTTGTCTCCCCACCGTTTTATTTTCTTCCTCACACTGTCCACTACGGACTCCTTCCTGCATTTCACTGGTCTGCGTGTTTATCGTCTGTTTCCATGGAAGCGGGCCGGGGCACGGGTCTCTCCGCCCTCCCCTCAGGGCGCCCGGGTCTGACACGCAGCAGCCTCGGGTAAAGGCTCCCTCAGTGAGTGGCCGAGACCACTGCTGCTGTGGGGCCTCCAATCTCCGCCCACCAGAAGCCAGCTGACCTGTCTCTCACATAGCCAGGACTCCTGGTCGGAGAGAAAATCGCCCGGCTTGAGAAACGCGGCCCTTTAGGGCCGCAACCCAACGTCCTGGGCTGATTGGCAATCAAGTCCGGCCGCTGACGAAGTTCCGCCCTGTGACCAGCAGGTGGCAGCAAAGACCGCCCTTTCTTAGCATGGTCGGCCTCGCTCGGCGGAAACTCACCAGCCTGGCGCCCATGCTGTGTCGATCCCATTAAACAAAAAAAGCTGCAGACAATGGTGGCTGAGTGGTGCAGGCGGAGATGGGAGAGACACAACAGCCTTGGAGTCAGCCAGGCCTAAATTGTGCTCCAGGTTGCAGCCTTCTTTCTTTGTGCCTTCAAGCTGGTGCCTAGGCCTAACCTGTCTGTGCCTCAGTTTCTCTGTCTGTACCCTGTTCGGATTAGCTCCCTAGTCTCCATCACCGGCTGTCTATCCCACATGCCCCTCTCCCCCGTCCTGTGACAGCCCAGCGACCAAGGAGGGTTGGGTGCCAGAGTCCCTGATCCTGTGGCCGCCATCAAGTATTTGTTGAATGACCGTCTGACCTGCTCTGCTCGTAGAATAGTCAGGGGCAGAGCAGATGCGCAGTAGGTGTCGACTGTGGTGGTGACGTCATGTGAAGGCGGTAGTGACCTCACGGTGAGGACCATGGCGTCAGGACACTGGTGGCTGTCATCACTGACATCAGTGGTCCCAGACTTGCTGGCCCAGGGGAACCCCCAGGGAGCCCCCAACCTCAAGGCTCCGGGGCCCCAGAGTCCTCCGAGCCCGCCCACCTGCACTCGGGCCCGATGAAGCAGGAGGCAGCCGGGCTCAAATGGCCTGGTCCTGCCCACGGCGCAGGCTGAGCACGCGCGCCGCCGCCAGGAAGGCCGCCCCGGTGAGCAGCTCCGAGGCGAAGCTGATCCAGCCCAGGGCCAGGGACCAGCCGAAGCGGATGTCCACCTGGTCCAGGAGGGCCCTCTCCTCCAGCAGGCACAGCGCCTCGCGGAAGGCGGCGGCCGAGTAGGCGATGTAGACGCTGATGCCGGCCAGGGTCACCACGGCTGTGGGAGAGCAGATCGCAGAGAGAAACGGATAAAAGGGGAAAGAAAGATCGCCAGAAACGGAGGAGAGGAGAAGCGGATCCGGGAAGGGGGGAAAGGGAAAGGGGGGAAAGGGAGTGAAAATGACCAAGATACAGGCGTGATCAAGAATGCAGTGAGCGTCTAACACTTTCGTACAGTACCGATTCCTCTCCCATTCATCTCCTCAGAATACTCGCCCTTGCTTGAACACACCGATCCCATCGGCCTTGCCATGGTCCAACGGTCTGGACGCCCTGCCCTCCACAGCTGCGCCGTCGTGGCTGCCTCCATGTCCTGAATCAACTGAAAGCTTTTCTTTGTCATGGTCGTTTTGACTTTGGAGGCGAACCAGAAGCCGAGCGGTGCGGGGCCCAGCGAGTGAGGTGGACAGGGCACCGGGGAGTCTTCACAGGCCGCCCTTCCGTGGGAGGCCACTCGGGCCACGTCTAAAAACACGCGGGCAGGAGGACCCCAGAGCTGCTTCCGCAGGTGGCAAGAACCATGGGACAAGTGCGTTCAAAGCGAAGGGATATTCTGAGCGAGATGACTAGCAATGTGTTTTCCACAGTGATGCGTTTTAATTTAAACATTCACCGTATTTTTTGACCACACCGCCAATGACACGCGCAGGGAACAAGACTCCAAGCCAGCATCTCTCTTCCGTGTGACAAACATGGACCGATGAGAAATGCATGTGTCTAATCCTCCCGGCACCTTCGCTCCCCCGCTCCCCCGCCGCCTCCCCCGCCCCGCCCGGCCCCGCCCCAGGCTGTCCTCCCGGCCCCGCCTGCTGCCCCCTCCCTCTCCCGGAGCTTCGCCGCGGGCCAGGCCACAATTGCAGTTCGTGCCCGGTCGTCACGGAGACTCCGGACGCGAGCTCAGAACGCCTCCAAGCCTGCCCCTCACGCCCTCCCGTTAGAGAACGCTCCCTGCCCTTCTGTCCTTCCGGCAGGAGATGGAGCGGGTCGCCTGCATCTGACGTCAGGAAGAAGCCAGAAAGGCTGCCAGCCACAGACTCCGCTGCCGCTGCCCCCTTGCTCTAGCAGTGGCCAGTGTATCTTCTCTTTATCTCTCAGAGTGCTTTTTCTTCTTGAGCTCTTCTTTGTGCTTCTTTTTCTTCAGTTCCTGTCAGCGCTGGGTTCAAGGCTCCCCACTGCTCAGTGCGGGGAGAGAACTTCGCCATCGCAGAAAGTTGTCCCCAGCCATGCTGGCGTGGAGAATTAGCCGCCCTGTGTGCTATTAATGACAGCGGCGATAATCGCTGCGGGAAGGGGGGGGGGGGTGAGCGCTTCGCAGTATTCTCACCTCCTGCCAGCCCTGGACTCCAAGCACGGGTGGCAACAGTATTGCCTTTTTTTCTTTGTTTTCCTTGTAGTTCTGGGGATTGAACCCAGGGCCTTTGCAATGAGCTGCATCCCCAGCCCTTTTTAAACTTTTTATTTTGAGACAGGGTCTCACCAACTTCCCAAGTTGCCCAGGCTGGCTTTGATCTTGTGATCCTCCTGACTCAGCCTCCCAGGGTGCTGGGATTACAGGTGTGCACCACCATGGCCCACTCACTTCTCTCTCTCTCTTTCTCTCTCTCTCTCTCTCTCCCTCCCTCCCTTTTTTCTCTTCCTTTCTAGAACTGAGAACTGAACCCAGGGTCCTTGCACTGAGCTACATCCCCACCCCATTTTTTATTTTGCTCCCCAGGCTGGCCCCAAACTTTCAACCCTCCTGCCTCAGTTTCCCAAGTAGCTGGGATTACAGGCTTGCACCACCATGCCCAGGTGTCTTTTTGTTTTAATAATGAGGAACCATTTCAAACACACTGGGAACACAGCAGCCATTTTTCTAAAACCACTGGTTTGCCAAACAATTAACCCAGCCAATATCAGTCATGCCTGGCTTTTGTTTTGTTTTGTTTCTCTGCCTGTGTTGTACTTTTGATGAGTGCAAATTGTACATATTTACAGCGCAGCCATGATGCTGGGATACACGTGGTGCTGGCTCCATCAAGCTATTTCATGTATTGTCTCCAGCACTTGGCCTTGTTTGTGTTATTGTTTTCTTGTCTCTGTTTGTGGTGGAAAGAACACCTCAAAGCCACCCTGTTGGCAGTTTTCAAGTCTACAGTCCATTGGTGTCAGCTACAGTTACTGTAATGGACAACAGGGCCCTGGAATCTATTCCTCCTTCTCTTCTCGCTGCAGTTTTGTTTCTTTAAGCAGCATCTCCTGTCCCTGTCCCACTCCGCCTCTGGAAGCACGGTTTTATTCTGTCTCAGGGAGACCGGCTCGTTCAGACCCCACATCTGAGTGGCTGCCTCTGTGCCGGGCTGGGCCTGTCTCATAATCAGCCCATGAGGCTGCTGGACAGCGGGGAGCACCCGCCCCGAGCGGCTGGCTGCCCTGACTTCTGCCTGAGGTCAGAGCCCAGCTCTGCAGAGAAACACAGGGAGGCGTGGCAGCTGCCCCCTTTCCACTTCCTCCCTGGAAACTGCTCACCTCTCTCGACTGATATTATGGTGGGGAAACTGAGTACCCTCCCCTGCTGAGGTTTTAGAGGCAGCACCCAGCCCCTCCAGCAGCCTGCACCGCCCCCCCCCGCAGGGTGGACACCTACCTCCAAACAGGAAGAGCGTCCCCGTGAGCAGAAGGAGGAGGTAGGCACGGAGGAGGAAGCTCAGGAACCCCGTCATGCTCCCAAAAACCATCAGGATCAGGCTGAGCGGAAGCAGGATCACAAACGTCCCGTGCATGGCTTGGAAGAGATACAGAGAACACCAGCATTTGATCAACAAACATCTACTGAGCACCCTTCACGGACCAGCCCCTGAACGATAGAGGGAGTTGTTCCTCCTGTCACCATGCTACTTCTAAGGGTGGCAGTGGCAGCACTGGCCAGGGCTTGTCATGTGCAAGGCCTGAGTGCCTGATCCGCACCGAGCCTTGAGGTAAGTGCTGTTGTCAGTGATTAATTTATAAACCAAGAATAAACCCTGCGGGCTGGCATTCTGGTGAGCAGACAAGTCAAGGACAACACTGGGAGTCGGTAACAAATACCAGGGGCTTGGGAATGAAGCTGAAGGGAGACAGAGCCAGCAGCACCCCAGGGGGTAACATCTGAGCAGGGAGAGAGGAGTGAGGGAGGCAATGTCCATGCAGAACCGGGGCGAGAGGTGTGGGAGCTTGGAGCAGCACAGGAACCCAGGGGACCCCAAGGTGACTCAGCCACCTGGGCCAGCGAGTGGATGCTGTCACGCCGTGGGAAGGCTCCAAGCCTCTCCGACTGAGACAGCAGCCACCAGAGGAATCAGGCAGTTAACTTACTTTGAGACAGGGTCTCACTAAGTCACTAAGTTGCCCAACTGGACTCCAACTTGTGATCCTCCTGCCTCAGCCTCCTGGAAAGCTAGGGCCACAGGTGTGTGCTGCCACACCCCCTGTTACATTTTTAAAGGATTGTTCTCGTTGCCATATTGGGAGCAGACAGCAGAGGGGTGTAGCGGGCTGGTGATCCACGTCCACCTGGAACCTGTGAAGTGGCCCAGTTGGAAAGGATCTCGAGATGAGGGCATCGAGGATTAGAGGGTTCCTACGTCCCATGAGTGGCGTCCTCAGAAAAGAAGAGAAGACACGGAGGAGCAGGGAACTCGACACCAGGAGCAGAGGGGCGTCTGCATGCCAAGAACCCCCAGGGATTGCAGCAGCCACAAGGACAGCAACCAGGAGAGACACCCTGAGCAGCTCTCCCGGAGCCTCCAGGGCAACCCCAAGGACACCTGGACTCTGTGCTTCTGGCCTCCAGGAGTTCATGAGAGAACAGCACTGCTAAGCCATTACCTTGGTGGTGACTCAGCGAGGGACAGGCCAGAAGTGGGCCGGCGGTTGGGGGACCCTTGGACCAGGACGGGGACCGTGGCGGGGAGACGTGGTCACATCCTGGGTATGGGGTGAAGGTAAAACAGGGCTGAGGAAAGGGAAAGAGAACCGGGATGGGACTGAACTTGAGGCTGAGACACTGAGTGAAGAGTTTCCAGCTGCTGAGGGGGGAGATGAGGCAGGAGGAGGTCAGGATGGGAGGGGCAGCAGGACTTGAAGTTCCAGACGCCCATTAGACTCCAAGCAGAGGCATCAAAGAGACCACTGTAGATGGAGGCATGGAGCTCAGCGGGGTCTGGGACAGGGTGTAAACTTGGAGGTTGACAATCTTGGATTTTTTCGAAGACACAACACTGTGAGGCTTCCAGGGGAGAGAACAGAGGTGGAGAAAGGCCGAGACCAGGGTTGAGCCCTAGGGGGCTCCGACACAGACACACGGGGCGGGGATGAGGAGGAGCCAGGAGATCAGAGGGTCGGGGACACATCCCTCCCCAGCTACAGGCTCGGGCCCTGCCTGGACTCGCCACGGTAACCAGCCCAGGAGAGGAGTCTGAGCTGCAAGGATGCTTAACTCAGTTCCCTGGGCATATGACGGGTGACAAGTGACAGCCTAGGACAGGGACAGGTGGCAGTGGGTGGGTGATCAGGTGACTGGATGGGGGAGGCCAGACAAAGAGCATCCCACAAAGGCCTGTACCCCCTGCCCCCGATCACAGTGCCCCGTGAGACCCCCAGTGTCCAACAAAAGCAACAAAGCCAATGCCTCCATGATCTTAACAGTAACATGAATAAGACAGAGATAGGACTCAGCTTAGGAAGGCGGAGCCAGTGATTTTTCAACTTTGTGACAGTACAAAAATAATCAATACTCGTTCAGTAGAAACTATGCTTTCAATTTTGAACTTTGATCTTGTCCTGGACTGACACCATTCTGCCCGATCCTCTCTGGGCATGGAGCCGTAGCTTCCCCTGCCCTGTGACCATGCAGGAAGCAACTTCGCCCTTCAGGGGGTGGTGTAGCTGGGCGAAGGTGTTCAGCAGTTTCGGTGTGTTGAGTGCATTCTTGATGTATGATATTTTCAACTTACAATGGCTTTCTCAGGACAGATTCTCACCGTTAGTTGTGAAACATCCATAACTCATGTATAAACAAAATGGTAAAAACAATAGTCTTGAGAATAAAAATAGTGACAGAGGTTTCCTGGGTGCCAGTCCCTGTCTTAAACATTTCCCAGGCAGTAATTCATTTCAGCCTCAGAGCAATCTTCTGTGGTAAGAGCTACTCATGCTCCATGGTGTAGATGTGGAAACTGAGGCACAATAACTTAAGACGCCCCAAGTCCCAGGGCCAGACGACAACAGCGCCAGAGTTTGACCCCAGGCTGTTGAGTAGAGGTCCCTTGGGTGAAGAAGGTGAAACCCTACAGGGTGTCCATGGCCACACAACCCCAAATCAATCAGCTCTCCGCTGCTGTGCTCCGTGCTGCAGCTGGAGATCCTAACTTGTTCCCACAGGAATACAGACCGGATGTGAAGGACTCTCAGGAGTCATCACCATGGAAACACGCTCTTCCTCCTCAGTGCTCCTAATGCCCTGACTTCCGGGTGTTCTGCCTAGGGGAGTTTGTGGTGCACCCTTGGGCAGCTTCCGGGTGGGGACTGACGGAACAATTGGAGCCGTGGAACTTTCACCCTGACCTCTGGGGAGCAGAGAGAGGCAGCGGCACGCAGAGCGAGGATTTATCCACCCGCGTACACAGTGCAACCTCCAGGCAGCCGAGACGGCGGGATCTGAGAGTCTGTGCCAGGAGAAGCCCGGAAGTCCGCACACCCGCCCGCTCCCCTCGCACCCTGAGGCAGGGTTTGCTGAATTGCCCAGGCTGAACCTGAGATCTCCCGCCCGCCTCCGCAGTAGCGGAGATTAGAGGCGCACCCTGCCAAGCTTCTGGGCTCCACAGACCAAGGACTTTGGCACCGAGACCGGAGGAGGTCGCAGTCATCCTCGGGGCGTGACGAGCAAGGGGTCTGTGTAAACCAAACCAAAGGGAGAGATGCCCAGCACTAGGTGGCTGAGCCAAGAGGACCAGTGAACTGAGTCCCACATGGAAATCACTGTTTACCCGGCCTCATCTCTAAGAGGATCTGTGGCAGTTTCCAGAGGCCAAATAGTCAAAGATAAATACACCTTCTGGAATGGGAACGCAGAAAATAATGAATTGCAGGAAACTCCAGACAAGGGAAGAGGGCTGGGAAAGGAGGAAGAGAGACAGAGGAAGCCGAAGGTCTGGGGTCTACACACCTACCACCAGCCTGGCTCTGAGCTTCCTGGCAGGCAAAGCAGAAAGGGAAACAGTTGCAAAGCTCTTTTCCACCATTTATTTACCTAAAATGTGTTGGTTGATTACCATGAGCTGGGTGCAGAGCCTTTTTAAACCCTTTTGGCAGCAAGATAGGTATGAAAATGAATCCTCTCACCCTTCAGGCAAACTAAGTGCCATTCATCTGCTAGGTATTCCCTCACTCCCATCCACACCTGCACATGTTCCCTCAGCTGCCCACAGGTGGCCCCTCCTGCTGTGTATTACTTGTGTTCGTCTCACAATCAGATCATAAGCTCATTTACCATTGTTCCCTGAGTTTCCAGCAGAGGTCTCGGGACACGAGGGTTCAGATGCCACGTGTGACCCACTGAATGAATGGATGAATAAACTTCGAGGCACCACCATAAGGCAAAGCAATATGGCATTTTTCAGGAAGTGAAAAAAACGGAAGCTGGAGAGAAGACTTCACGGAAGTTAAAAATCCAGACTTTCAAGCCAGGTGATGGAAAGCATCTGACTGGGGTCTGACTTGGGGCTTTGAGGAAGTCACTGCCTTCCCCAGACCCCCATGTGCAATAGGGGCAGGAGCGTGGGGCTCAAAGCAGAACACCTGTGAGGTCACAGGGCCACCTGCAGCCACGTGGCAAGGTGTGCAGAACTGTGTCGCTTTGCTCTGGTTTGATGAGATTTTGAGTGTCCCCCAGGATTTCAGTGTAATCCCCATCAGAGGTGTTAGGAGGACTGAAATGGAATCTGACTGCAGTACCTAGAGGTGGCACGTTTTGGGGAGGCTGGGACTAGATAAGGTCATCAGGGTGGGGCCCCCATGATTTAATCCTGGTGGCTTTGTAAGGAGAGGGAGAAGGCAGGTGTGGGGCACAGCTGTGATCCCAGCACTCTGGGAGGCTGAGGCAGTAGGATCACAAGTTTGGGCCCAGACTGGGCAACTTAGCAAGACCCATCTCAAAATAACAAATAAACCATACTACAAAGCTACTGTGATAAAAAGAGCATGGTACTGGCAAAGAAACAGACCTGAGGATCAATGGATTAGATTAGAAGATGCAGAAACAACTCCAGACACACTCAGCCACCTCATCTTTGACAAAGGAGCCAAACAGCCTCACTGGAGGAAAGATAGCCTCTTCAATAAATGGTGCTGGAAAAACTGGGTTTTGATTTGCCAAAGATTAAAAGTAGACCCAAATCTCTCACCATGCACTAAATTAAAATTGAAGTGGATCAAAGATCTAAATATTAAAACAGAAACATTAAACCAGCTGGAACAAAGGTTAGGTAGAACTCTTGAAGCCACTGGTGTAGGAAAAGACTTTATGAACAAAACCTCAGTCACACAGGAAGTAGCACAAAGAATCAACAACTGGGATCTCATCTTATTAAAAAGCTTCTGCACAGCTAGAGAAACCACCAACAGAGCTAAGAGACAACCTACAATGTGGGAAAAATATTTTACTAGCTGTTCCTCAGGCAAAGGGCTACTGTTTTGAATATATAAAGAACTTGCAAAAATCACACCTCCCAAATTTAAAAACCCAAC